GAGAGAGAGAGAGAGAGAGAGAGAGAGAGAGAGAGAGAGAGAGAGAGAGAGAGAGAGAGAGATTGGTCCTCTCTTATCAAAATCCGTAACTTCGATTTGGGGATGGTTACTGTCTCTCTATAGATGTTTTGTGGTTGTTGAGAGTCTATTTTTAGAACTAATGTTTCTGAAACTCTGTTTGCTTTTGTCTTCCCTGCGCGCATGAAGCATCTTGTGCTGAAGAAAGTTCCAGACAGTACGAAAATGGGGCCGCGTGCGATGTAAGTATTATGTTGATCCACCTGCTGACCCATCCACCTGACTCCTTCCTTGTAAAGGACACGTCAGGCAATGCAATGCTGCAGTAACCTGACGTCATTGACTCTGACGATGATCTAACAGCACACACACACACACACACACACACACACACACACACACACACACACACACACACACAATGCAATGCAATGCAATGCTGCAGTAAAAGACGGTTTTTATAGAGTTAAGTAGAAAATGGTTACAGAGTTGAGTTGACGTAGATGGTTATTGTGGAGTTCAGTAGAAGATGGGTACTGTAAAGTGGAGGTGTAGATGGTTGATATATTAGTGTGGAGTTGGGCAGATTTACAAGTCGAAGACTGTTTATGTCTCTTCTTGCTGATCCTAGTTCCATAAGACATTGCCTTCTCCAAGGTTTACGTCTCAGGTGATTCCTGTAGAGTTGAGTATGCATAGATGGTTAGTGTGGAGATGAGTCGAATGGCCCCGAGTGTGCAGTATAGACAGATATACAAGTTGCAGACTGTTTATGTCTCTTCTTGCAGATCCTTTTTTTTTTTTGAACCACGAGTACATCCGAAAAAGCAGATCGAGCCTCTCCTAAAAAACAGGAGGCCATGAACCACCGATTCATTTTATCGACGGTCCGTGGCCTCCGACGTTTCAGGAGAGGCTCAATCTGCTTTTTCGGATGTACCGTTGGTTTAATGTATTGCCTTTCTCCCAGGTTTATGTCTCACCTCCATTCCTGCTTTTCACGTAAGCATCATAGGCATGGGGGTGAGACATAGCGTTGGTGAAGACGAGGTCGTGTGTGAGAGGTCTGGATTCGGTTGGCGTGTTTGTTGATTTCATCATGCATGCATAGCCCGTGTGAGTGGATTGGTGGGCCTGTAACTCGGCATCGGATGCTGTTGCTGCTTTTCCTTGGCTGCAGAGAACTTCCATATCCTCTTTACGCTGGTGAAGCCCGGGAGGTCTGCCTGTTTCTTAAAGACAAGGATGGTAAGCCCCTAAGCCCCTGCTCTCTCTCCTATTCGTGATATAGCCCTTTACATCTTATTCATGCTCGTTTGGCCCCCTTTCTATCTGTTAATGTGGTGATCACTGGCCGTTTTCCCCGGACTGCAGAAATTCTTCTTCATGTACCCTACAGCGTCTGCTCATACATTTTTTCCTCTTTTTTTTCTTGTTTCTCTTTTCGTTTCACAATTTTCGGGATATATATACAATATATAGTGAAACAGAGCTGCCCAGTAAACCGTAGGCAGTATGTTTGACAATATATATATGAGGCTTCAGCCTCCTGATGAGTCAGTGAAACTTCAATGAAACAGTCTGTCGAAAGCCGTTGTTTGTTGTACTCTTCTCCGTCTCTGCCTGCGGTTTACCGGGCAGCTCTGTTTGACTTCACTCCAGCAGTTTCTACTACGGAAGTTGCCTCCGCTGCGGTCCCTGCTACGGAAGTTGCCTCTGCTGCGGTTCCTACTACAACACTTGTCTCTGCTGCGGTTCCACGTTTTACCACTTCCTCTGCTTCTGTACCTCGAATTTCTCATVMTATWRWTTTWACTGGTATAACTTCCTCTACCCCAGCCCGACACTCGCGTCCTATGTTCCGACATCTTGCCGAATCCACCCCCCTTTCATCCCTTTCTGTGCTTGGSCGCAGACGGCTGCGTTCCTCCTCGCCACCCCCATCTCCTCCACGGTCTCGTTTGAGAACCGATTCTCCGGTTTCTATTCTTCCCATTGTTCCGCCTTCATTGCCAGTGACATCTTCTGTTAGAAACATCGCCACTCCTCTTATTGTGGATCATCGTCGACGACATGCACAACATCGCCACTTGGCCAGGGATCAGCGGCCTGCTTCTTTGTCTACCCCAATTCTCTCTGTGCCTCCTTCACGGGTTGTTGCGGTTCCGTTGTCCCAAACGGATACATCCGCTCCTATGCCTCCTGCAGACAGTCCAGCTGCTTGCACACAGCCACAACACCATGTTTTATGCCCTTCCATGTTCGTTTGTCCCCCAGCTGTGCAACAGGATATGGTCCCTGCC